TCTAAAGTCATGCATTTTTTTATGAAATATAGGCAAGTGTTTCACGTTACGTTCTCCACGGTTTGGAAACTTTTCTTAGATTGGTTCCACATCAATGCTAGAGAGCAAAATCTACCTTAATATTTAACCCTTAGCTAAGCGATGGAGAATTGGCTGATTTACGTCTTCTCAAGTCTATTTATGCGAAAATGAAGGAAACAGACTAGACCGGAATTTGAACGTGGCTCGTCAATATCCCTTACACTACCTGTTCACCATCCTTATTATTACTATTCTGTAGTATTAGTTTCGTCTATACACCTTTTTTTATTATTTTTGTTGCTTTTTAACAGTCATAATTCATCGACTAAATAAAAGAAAATATTAAGGAAAGAGATGAATCTTAATAATATGTAATAAAGATTTACTAAATAAGTAACTTTTCGGAACTGTTTCTGTCGCTATTTTCGGCTCCATGAAATTACAAAACGAATTCTGTTTTGTTGCCTCTCCATTATAACAAAGAGTCTCCAAGAAATCATTTTGTTATGAATTTTATGCTAAAAGGGACCACAGCAACAAGGAAAAAAACATCACTGGATAAAACTGCCCTAATGGAATTTCTAAGAATGAATAGAAAGCCCGGGAGCAAACACCTTGATGTAATTAATATGTGACAGATTTCAGGCGCTACTGAGAGAAAACTTTCAGCGGACACGCTTGGTTGGTTGGCTGGAACATTGGCTCTTCGATGCGTTGGCTTCAGTCCAGGTAATCTTGTCCGAGCGTCTTCTAATGGACATTGAAACTGTGAACACAGACTGATCATCTGACAACTACTATCGCTAAAAATATGGTTCGATTGAAGTGATCGTGATTCAGAAGTAAAGCACTTTATAGAGTATCCGAAAATGGAATCCGAAAACCAGGTTCGAGTTCTCTTCCCAGCTTCTGATATAACTTTAAACACATGAATCGTATTTCCCAATTGGTAGGATTCATTAACATATTTCATATTGTCTCGAGCGCATGTAAGCGCTGATTGCACAATTTTATTTACGCTATTCGGTTGAAAATAAAGTCCTACCCTATTTTTGATGTTATTAATTTGAGGAAACGTTTTTTACTACTTTTGATAGAATAATTATCGTCAATGTTTATATTCTGCAGATTTTTTCTTTCTTTCATGGAATATTAATCAACATCAGATTGGTTACATTTTGTATCGATGTTACCATTTTATAATGAGTTTTAATCCGACCATATCAGACAATGTATCTTGTATGAATTGAAAATATCTCTTCAGTAACAGAATAGAAAAAACATTTTTTGCTGTCTATGATAATAAAACTTTAAATGTTTGGTCATGCTAATTATGGTTTGGTCACTTTTCTCTTGCTGATGGCCTTCCATCTATAGTTAGTACTCACTGTAAAAACAAATCCATCTCTAACATTTGACGTTACACAAAAAATATGCAGGGCATCGTCTATAATGAAACGCTAAACTAAAATGAAGTCCTTGGCAAAGGTTTTAGAGATGTTGATTGAATGCTGGGATTTCGACGTTGATTGCATTGACCTTTTTTAGGACCACAGTCGGACCTGTGGGTTGTCCACTGGAAACTAAGAATCGATCTTTAAAAAGCGTTTGTGGAATCTCTACATCATCTAAACGCTTGCGGCACACAACCTATGTCTCACCGGAGTACAGCAGGTATGTCAGCACACGAGAATTGTAGACTGCCATCCTTATGCACTTTTTGTCCTTTCTACGACCAACCACGATCTTTGAGTATTGAAAAAGCATCAGTTGCCTTCTTCACACGCGCAGGTATTTTAATGTAAAGAATGCAGTGTCTGTTTATAGTGCTCCTAAGATAGGGGAAATTATCTTCCGTTTTTACAGCAGTATATGGGTACACTCCAAAACCCTAAATGACCAGAGATTGTTCAGCTGAGTTCTCCTCTGACCTAGCGCTAACAGCTCAGTGGGTGGGTACTGGTTGGTTGCATTCAATGCTTTGAAAACCAAACATCATCACCGATCAGACGATGAACTATCATCAATCACGATGAATGGGTGTTCCCTCAAAAAGGCCCCATACCTGTTGGATCTTAAACTTAGCCCAGCCCTCAAGTTGGGGTCATACACACCAAGAAGTTCACTAAGAGAACTATAAAAGGATTGGAAAATAAAACTTATCCTTGCTTTTATTCTGAAATGTATTAGAATTAACCTGAATCTTATCCTCACTGTGGAAATTTTCTTTCCCTGGGTGGCTTGCTGCTAAACTACAAACACAGTCATGTTGTGCATCATCTAGGCATTACACAAATACACACATTTCCTAATAGCAAAACTTATAATATTTTTCTTCTTTTCAATCTGTTTATACACGAAATATTTTTTTCAATCTACAACCCTTTTCTCAAAGATGAGACGTCACAAGGCTCTCTCTATTCTATCGCTATTTCCATGGTGAATGTGCAGATGAACTCCACTCATTACTTCCACCAGTCCTAATATTCACGGCTAAGAACGGCCATGCCCTGCACAATGTAGCAGACCGCATTCACCTCCTTCATATTCCCCTTTCATTCAAGTAGCTTCTTCCAATGAACCACCGCGCTTTGTAACTAACTCCTAAGAGACTGATACTCTAATCACTACAATCGTAACTTGTTCAAGTCTAAGGTTAACCGTTATCTTCCGCACATATCCACATATTTTACTCTATAATCCTCCACCTCGAAGTGCCCGATGTAAAACGTGCCAGAAGCAGGTTGGAATTTAACCACTGTCTTGTCCGTATTGAAAATAAGGCCGAAAGCTCTACAGGAGCAGGAAGGTTTTTTCACCAAAGCCTGCATTTCCGGTTATATATTGAAGACCAAGTCATTTCATCTGTATACAGGTCTCAGAGAAGAATGTCTTAGATTTTCAAGACAAACATCGGACGTTGCTTAGTTTACCAGTTGCACGAGATAATATATATATATATATATATATATATATATA